GTGGTTGCTGTATTTTCTGATTGGATGCAGCCGCTGTTTGACCCACAATTTTCCCTTAGTGGAGGAGTGTCAGCCAGGATGTGGCTGAAAAGACCCCCCCCCCCTTGGCTGGTTGCTCATGAACCCGACCAATGTATGGCCATTTAGGGAAAATCCTAAATTTTGAGTTGTCACCACTCCAGGTCAAAAAGGACATCTTCCAGTCGGGACACCTATTCTGGTGAAGGTTAGGTTCACATCTATAGGCCTCTGCGAGCCATTTTTACGTGGGCATGGCAGCCCATTCTTTTGAATAGTCTGCTGTAACCTGCGTTTCCTACAAGGAAAAGGTCCCTGCACCTTATTAAAACGCAACTCCATGGAGATTTTGCACCATGTGTTTCTTAGTGCATGGGGGTGCCATTAACAATTAATGGCACCCCCAAGCATTTTCTATGCAGCTGCCGAAATGCATGCAATTACACGCTTTCCAACACCTTGAACAGATGTGAACCTAACCTTGGAGGGGACTTTCTTCATTTGGAGAGATTCCCTCTCATCTCCTGTTGTTTCTATATTTTATTAATTTTATTAATTACAGGTACTTACACAGCACCATCAATTTACGCAGAGATTTTCACATGTATTGCACATTCACATCAGTCCCTAACCCCGGGTTCACACTGATGCGATGAAGAATTCGCACTGGTGTCTGCGCGATATCCACACCGCATCATAATCACACCCCGTTCAAACGAATGACACCCAGAAATCAGCTCACAAAACGCGGTGCGATGTGCAGAATCGGATCGCATGGGTGTGAACATCCATGCGATCCGATTCTGGTGCGAACTAAAAAAGGGTCCTGCACTTTTCTGCTGTGGGTGCGGTGTGATCTGAGCCATACAAAATGCATGGCTCCAATTGCACCGCACAGAAATCGCATGTGATTTGCACAGACATGCAGTGCGGTTCCTCTGCGAATCACGTGATGTGCCGCACTGCATCAGTGTGAACTCAGGCTGAAAATAGTAAATCCATGACATTTCTTGGTTCCTGATGACAAAGTTTGGGGTTCTGGAACAAGATTATAATCTTGGATCGCAGCACAGAAGTGTGAACCAGGGCTTAAGGAGCGTACAATCTATAGTCTCTAACTCACATTCATACATACACATACTGGGGCCAATTAACCAACCAGCATGTCTTAAGAGTGTGGGAGGAAACCGGAGTACCCAGAGGAAACTCACACAGGCACAGGGAGAACATGCAAACTCCAGGCAGGTCGTGCTGTGGTTGGGAGGTGAACTGGCAACCCCAGTGCTGCTAGGCAGAAGTGCTAACCAAGTGGTTAGCACTTTTGCCTAGCAGCACTGGGGTTGTCAGTAAGTAGCCACTGTGCTGCAGGAAGGGAAGAGAAATCTCCCCAATGTCAGACTCAATGTTTGCTCTACTTTAACAACCTATAAGGTCCCAAATGTACCCCAAATTCTACATTTTAAGCAACATTTTGGTCTAGCTTTTAAAAATCAGAAGCAATTGCCAATGGCATCTTGTTGCGACCAGCAATGTTTACGGCGCTCATTCATCACACCAATCGCATTCGCACATTAGCGACATCGTCATCCGGGCCAGCCCATTAATACATTGTACTCTTCTCTTGTTTAATCTTTGTTTCCTTCTGTAATTTTTCAATCATCTAATTGTTAGCGCAGCTCTCACATTATCCATGGAGTGACTACATAGAGATTTATACATCTGCTGCTAATAATATTCCAATCAGCAGCAGGACCTCAAATGGAGAGGTGGAGGAGCAATTAGAGGGGAAATTAATAGAGCAATCATCAGTCAATAAAATACAGTGTGTGAGTGAAAGGGCTGTACAATGGATGTGTCCGGAGACCGAGCTCGGTGTGGAGAGAGGGGGGGGGGCGGGGGTCACCCTACCAGCTGGGACTCCCAGTCCTTCCAGTTATGGTCCCTAACATGACTTGACAGCTTCCAGCTGCTGATCAACTACAAGACCAAGTGTGCCTTGCCTACACAGCTGAGACTTGTAGTTCCCCACGCAAGGGCTTACACCCCGGTCGCACCAATCCGACTCTGAAATCGTGCGACTTCCAGTTGAGTCGGATGGTATGGTATTCTGATTTTGAGGTGCAACTTGCAAGACATCTGTGGCTTGCGAGACACAAATGTCTATGCGACTCACACCTAAAGTAGTGCATGCCAGGGGCGGACTGACAACTCATGGGGCCCTCGGGCAATAGGGGATCATGGGGTCCCTGTGTCCTTGCCCAAACTCAAAAAAGCCTATGAAAAAGGTACCAGGGGCATCTAATGGGGCCCCCTACTGACCCTGGGCCCTCGGGCAGTGCCCGAGTTTCCAAATGGTCAGTACGCCCCTGGTGCATGCACTACTTTAAAAATCGGTGCAGCTCCCACCAAGTTGGAATCGCACAGATATGACCGCTGTAATTGCGGACAATAGGGTGCAATGTGCCATGTGATTTGCAAGTCGCATAGCATGGCAGATCGCATACCAAGTTGCACCCGATGTGACCGGGGTCTAAAAGTATACGTTCACCCAGTCACTAAAATCTCATACACGCTTCAAAATATTAATGCGATTCTCAAAGATGTCAATATTTTGAAAACAGCAGCTTTAATGAAATTACACCTGGTGATCCTGCCATGAAGATCCTTGTCCCTTGACACTTCCTGTTATAGGGTGACAACGCTTTGCCAATGTCTCCCATCCTGCGTTGCCACTCTGCCAAATAAATGTCCAGTGGAGACTGCAAAGGGGTGTTAGAGCTCCCATTAAGCAGGCATGGTCCGGTTTTCTCCATTAGGAAACCTACACTGAAAAATGTCATCGCTGGAGTGCATGTAGACAAGAAGTGCCTGTAAAGAGGATTCAGGGGATCACTAAGATGCAACAAAGGATGGAAAGAAAGCAAAATCAAGTAACTTGAATTTAAAAATGCCAATTGTTTCTGATGGAGAGTGCTTAAAGCGGAGCTCCAGTCTCTGGTGAAAAAATAAAAGTCAGCAGCTACAAAAACAGCCACTCAACCTGCCCCTCGATCCAGCAATGAGCTCACCACAGCCGGGTTCACTGGCCATCCTTTGTCCCCGGCACCGACATCTTCACAGTAAGGTGCCCACTGTGCATGTGCAAGCAGCGCTGTGCCTTGTGAATGGTCCTGTAGTCTTCTGGGACCTGTCATGTGGAGGAGAAACTCTGCTTCCGATCCCCTAGGGGAGGTCGGAGTGGGAGCGGGTATGTGTCAAATTGGGTACCCACTCCAAAACTGGGTACCCACTACCCCCTGTTCCCCAAAAGTGCCAATGTAGTTCAATTAGAGTTTACATCTAATTTAAATGATACAGAGGCCACGCCTCCACCCCAGAACGTAGTTGCCTGGCTCTCTTATGACATCAATACTTGATCAATCATATACCCAAAACAAGCATGCAGCTAGTAAAGTCACCTAACTTGCATGCTTATAACTCTGGTATTGAAGAACTGCATTAGCAGAGCAGCCAGGCCAGTGGCATTTTCAGAAGGAATTACTGGCAATAGCAGTCTATATAGTTTGTTTTTTTTAGATCAGTGGTCTCCAAACTGCGGCCTGGGGGTCGAATTCGGCCCTTTGCGTGCTTTTATCTGGTCCTTGGAGCACAACATTATTCACTGAGAGCAACGAAGGGGCACAATTCCTCCGAATGATACCAACAATGGGACACAATTCCTCCCAATGACACCAATGATGGGGCACAATTCCTCCCAATGACACTAACGATGGGGCACAGTTCCTCCCAATGACACAAACAATGGGGCCCAAAAACACCAGTGACGGAGCACAATTCTTTCCAGTGACACCAATGATGGGGCACAATTCCTCCCAATGACACCAATGATGGGGCACAATTCCTCCCAATGACACCAATGATGGGGCACAATTCCTCCCAATGACACCAATGATGGGCACAGTTCCTCCCAATGACACAAACAATCGGGCCCAATAACACCAGTGACGGAGCACAAATTTCCTCGCATTGACACCAGTGATAGGGCACTATTTCTCCCAATGACACCAACAATGGGGCCCAATGGCACCAATGTCATGTTAACATGACAGCCAGACAACAAGCATTTCAGAAGCAATGGTAGCCCCCATACAGAGAGAGAGAGAGTGTGTGTGTGTGTGTGCCTGACACAAGAGAAATATGTATCCTGCCATTGCTGGCCTCTCCTTTTGAAGATGCTTGTTGCCTGGCTGGCATACCAGTGCATTAAAGCTGAACACCAGCAAAAAACCAAGATAAAATTGAAGAGATCTGGAGGGGATATTAGTATAATTGCTGATGAGAAAAATGTAGCCTGCCATTGCTGGTCTTCCCTTTTGAAAATGCTAGTTGTCTGGCTGTCATACTGATACTTTAAAGCCCAACTACAAAAAAACTTGAAAATTCTCTGTGGCAGCGAAGCACTTGCACTGGAAGGGTTAACTGTTCCTTTAGAGTTAAGAAGCCTGGAAAAGTAAAATTTCTTCCCCGATCCTCTGCATTGCTAAACTGGTCCCTGCAATGCCTTCTTCCCCATGTTTAAGGTCCCGACATTATCACGACCAATGCAGGGTCAATATCCCTGCATTGCACGCGAGGATGCTGATGGACAGCCTGCTGCCGGAGCATTGGAGAACGCCATCTGCTGGGGGAGCAGAGGATCGGGCAAGTAAAAGTATTTTTACTATTCCTAGGGTGAGCGGTTAACCCTTGTAGTGTGGGTGGGCAGTGTGTCCCCATTAGGAACAGTCTGCCCTCACTTCCTGGCTCAATAAGTAACTGAAAATCATGGGACAGGAAATTAGATGCAATCTCCTCAGTGGGGACACAGACAGTAATTAACTGGGAATCCTGGGACAGGAAGTAAGGTGAAATCTCCCCAGTGGGGACACAGACAGTAATTAACTAGGAATCCTGGGACAGAAACATGGGCAGACTGACAACTCATGGGGCCCCCGGGCAATAGGGGATCATGGGGCCCCTGTGTCCTTGCCCAAACTCAACAAAGCCTATGAAAAAGGTACCAGGGGCATCCCATGGGGCCCCCTACTAACCCTGGGCCCTCGGGCAGTGCCCAAGTTTCCAAATGGTCAGTCCGCCCGTGTGTTTCTACCAGTGTGTGATTGAAAACAATATCCTCCCCTGCAGCCTCTAATGATGTGGAACCCCCATAATTCTCTGGTAGCCCGAGTTTCCAAATGGTCAGTCCGCCCCTGGACAGGAAGTAAGGTGAAATCTCCCCAGTGGGTACACAGACAGTAATTAACTGGGAATCCTGGGACAGGAAGTAAAGTGAAATCTCCCCAGTGGGTACACAGACAGCCATGCTTATGACACGCACTCTTTAAATGCACGATGCTGGGTGTTGTAGTTCCCCAAGCTTCGTGTTGGAAGTGGTTTGGACAGGAAGTGAAGTGAAATCTCCTCAATGGAGACACAGGCAACCAATCTTGCTCCTCAGAAGCACTAAAGCCCTACACAGCCAGTCAACTAACATTTCCAGAAGCATGCAAGCAATGATCCCTATTTTTTGCTTATGACAGGTACCCTTTAAATGGCAGATAGCTGGGTGTTGTAGTTCCCCAGGTTCCCCTCTCTATCATAGAAGGATTGAGTTCAGTACTGGGAATTTTGAACCTAACTGGGAGTCATGGGACAGAAAGTGAGGTGAAATCTCCCAAATGGTGACACAGGCAACCATATTTGCTCCTGCTCAGAGGCACTGAAGCCATATACAGCCAGTCAATTAGCATTTTCAGCAGCATGCTAGCAATGGCCTCTAGTTTTTGCTTTTGCCACATTCGCTTTAAATGCCTTATGCTGGGTGTTGTATTTCCCCAAGCTCCATGTTGGAAGCGGATGGTATAGGAAGAGAAGTCTCAACAGTGGGGACACAGAAAGCCATGCTTGCTCCTTCTCAGAAGCACAGAAGCCCTTCACAGCCAGTCAACTTTCAGCAGCATTCAAAACAATGACCCCTATTTTTTGCTTACGGTGGGTACCTTTTAAATTGCAGATGCTGGGTGTTGTAGTCGCCCATGTTCCCTATTATGAAAATGGTTGGAAACAGGAAGTGAGGTGAAATCTCTCCAATGGAGACACAGTCAATCAAGCTTTCTCCTTCGGAAGCATGGAAACCCTACACAGCCAGTCAACTAGCATTTCCAACACCATGCAAGCAATGATCCTTGTTTTTGTTTATTACAGGTACCCCTTAAATGACTGATACTGGATGTTGTAGATCCCCAGGTCCTCTTCTCTATGTTGGGAAGTGGTTGGGACAGGAAGTGAGGTGAAATCTCTCCAATGGGGACAAAGGCAACCGTGATTGCTCCATCTTAGAAGCACTGAAGCCCCACACAGCCAGTCAACTAGCATTTTGAGCAGCTTAGAAGCAATGGTTTCTGTTTTTAGGTTTATGGCAGATACCCTTTAAAAGCCAGATGCTGGATGTTGTAGTTCCCCAAGCTCCCCTCTCTATGTGAAGGTGGTTGAGACAGGAAGTAAGGTGAAATCTCTCCAGTGGGGACACAGGCAACCATGATTTGTCCATCTCAGAAGCACTGGAGCCCCACACAGCAAATCAACTAGAATTTAGAGCAGCTTACAAATGGCTCCTGTTTTTGGCTTATGGCAGGTACCCTTTAAATACCAGATGCTGAATGTTGTCCTTCCACAAGCTCCTCTTTCTTGCTGTCTCAACCACCTACACATAGAGATGGGAGCTTGGGGAACTACTACACCCAGCATCTGCCTTTGAAAGGGTACCTGTCATGAGCAAAAATAAGGACCATTGCTAGCATGCTGTTGGAAATGCTAGTTGACTGGCTGTGTGGGGCTTCAGTGCTTCTGAGAATGAGAAAGCATGGTTGCCTGTGTCCCCATTGGAGAGATTTCACCTCACTTCCTGTCTCAACCACCTTCACATAGAGAGGGGAGCTTGGGGAACTACAACATCCAGCATCTGGCATTTAAAGGGTACCTGCCATAAGCCAAAAAACAGGAACCATTGTTTGCAAGCTGCTCAAAATGCTAGTTGACTGGCTGTGTGGGGCTTCAGTGCTTCTGAGATGGAGCAATCATGGTTGCCTGTGTCCCCATGTGCTCCCCTCTCTATGTGAAGGTGGTTGAGACAGGAAGTGAGATGAAATCTCTCTCCAATGGGGACACAGGCAACCATGCTTTCTCCTCCTCAGAAGCACTGAAGCCTAACACAGCCAGTCAACTAGCATTTTGAGCAGCTTGCAAACAATGGTTCCTGTTCCTGCCAGATGCTGGATGTTATAGTTCCCCAAGCTCCCCTCTCTATGTAAAGGCAGTTGAGACAGGAAGTGAGATGAAATCTCTCCAATGGGGACACAGGCAACCATGCTTTCTCCTCCTCAGAAGCACTGAAGCCTAACACAGCCAGTCAACTAGCATTTTGAGCAGCTTACAAACAATGATTCCTGTTCCTGCCAGATTCTGAATGTTGTAGTTCGCCAAGCTCCCCTCTCTATATGAAGGTGGTTGAGACCAGGGGCAGACTGATAACTCATGGGGCCCCCGGGCAATAGGGGATCATGGGGCCCCTGTGTCCTTGTCCAAACTAAAAAAAAGCCTATGTAAAAGGTACCAGGGGCATCTCATGGGGCCCCCTAGTGACCCCGAGCCCTCGGGTAGTGCCCGAGTTTCCAAATGGTCAGTCTGCCCCTGGTTGAGACAGGAAGTGAGGTGCAATCTCTCCAATGGGGACACAGGCAACCATGCTTTCTCCTCCTCAAAAGCACTGAAGCCCCACACAGCGAGTCAACTAGCATTTTGAGCAGCTTACAAACAATGGTTCCTGTTCCTGCCAGATTCTGAATGTTGTAGTTCCTCAAGCTCCCCTCTCTATATGAAGGTGGTTGAGACCAGGGGCGGACTGACAACTCATGGGGCCCCCGGGCAATAGGGGATCATGGGGCCCCTGTGTCCTTGCCCAAACTAAAAAATAGCCTATGTAAAAGGTACCAGGGGCATCTCATGGGGCCCCCTACTGACCCCAGGCCCTCGGGCAGTGCCCGAGTTTCCAAATGGTCAGTCCGCCCCTGGCTGAGACAGGAAGTGAGGTTAAATCTCTCCAATGGGGACACAGGCAACCATGCTTTCTCCTTCTCAGAAGCACTGAAGCCCCACACAGCCAGTCAACTAGCATTTTAAGCAGCTTACAAACAATGGTTCCTGTTCCTGCCAGATTCTGAATGTTGTAGTTCCCCAAGCTCCCCTCTCTATATGAAGGTGGTTGAGACAGGAAGTGAGATGAAATTGCTCCAATGGGGACACAGGCAACCATGCTTTCTCCTTCTCAGAAGCACTGAAGCCCCACACAACCAGTCAACTAGCATTTTGAGCAGCTTACAAACAATGGTTCCTGTTCCTGACAGATTCTGAATGTTGTAGTTCCCCAAGCTCCCCTCTCTATGTGAAGGCAGTTGAGACAGGAAATAAGGTGAAATCTCTCCAATGGGGACACAGGCAACCATGCTTTCTCCTTCTCAGAAGCGCTGAAGCCCCACACAGCCAGTCAACTAGCATTTTAAGCAGCTTACAAACAATGGTTCCTGTTCCTGCCAGATTCTGAATGTTGTAGTTCCCCGAGCTCCCCTCTCTATGTGAAGGCAGTTGAGACAGGAAGTGAGATGAAATCTCTCCAATGGGGACACAGGCAACCATGCTTTCTCATTCTCAGAAGCACTGAAGCCCCACACAGCCAGTCAACTAGCATTTCAAGCAACATGCTAGCAATGGTCCCTATTTTTGCTCATGACAGGTACCCTTTCAATGGCAGATGCTGGGTGTAGTAGTTCCCCAGACCCCCCTCTCTATGTTGTAAGAGGTTGGACTCAGGACTTGCAAACTTTCCATTCAACTTTCCCCCTCCTGCGGAACTCCAGGCTCCCCTGCAGCTGCAGAGCATTTGCTTGACGCACTTGAAAGCTTCTCTATAATGATGAATTTGTGTCCCAGAGTGTGTGCATCTTCCCTGTGTGTGCTCCCCCCCCCCCCCCCCACCCCCCAGGCCTGCCCCCTCCTCCATCTATCCCATGCAGACCCCGCTTTAATAAATAAATAAGGAGCCAGCAGCAGCAGTAGCGGAGCCCTGCAGGAGAAATACCTTGGGTGCTTTTTTGGCTGCCTTCAGTCTCCACCTCTGGAGTGAGAAGCGGTCGATAAGTAATTGTTATTGCGGGCAGGGAATGCAGAGAGAGGGGGGTCCAGCTAGAACAATTCTCATTTATTTGGTGGCTTTTTTTTTATTGGTGCCATCTGCCCCCCCCCCCTTCTTCCCCCTCCCCCCATCTTCCTCTTCTCCCCTCCACTGCTCCTGCAAAAAAAAAAAAAAAAAGAGGACAGCCCAGGGGGGTGACATCCATCCATCTCACTTTAGGGGTCTCTCTCCAAATATACACATATAAAGAGAGAGGGAGGGGATACCAGCAATGGGGGCTTGGAGAAGAGGGGGGGGGGTGGAGGGTAAAAAAAAAAAGCCATTTTCAGCAAAACAAGTTTTTTTTTTTTTTTTTTTTTATCTAGCACTACCTAACAACCCTCTGTAAATGAAATCACTCATTCTCATCAAGTGGCAGGCCAAATATTATCTACAGTGCATTGAGAGGGATCGAATCCTATTTAGAATCGCGATTCGACATCTGTTTTCAAATTTGATCATCTATGAACTTTATTTTCCGAGTTTGGGGAAAATTATATTCTATCGATCCCAGACACTGCCTGCCTGTACATATATTTTCTGCTGCAGCTCAAGGCAAAGGAGTGAGCAGCTAAGGAGTGGAGGCTGACACTCTCTGCAAAGAGCCAAGGCACAAGACACACTTCCGATCTCCTCCTCTCCACCCTCACCTTCTCTCCTCCTCTGCTCCTCTCCTACCTCTCCTCTATTTCCACCCTCTCTACCTTTCTCTTCTCTAGCTTCCTTCCTTCCTTTTTTTTTTTTTTTTCCCCTTTCACATTCTTTCTTCCCTTTTCTTTTCTCTTCCACATTGCATCCTTTGACAGTTCAGCTTTGGTCCCTCTCTTGCTCCTTGGGTTGAGTTTGCGATCCTGAAGGAAGACTTTCTGAAGATCCTCACTATTATGACCTCTCACTTTTCATGATTAAGTGTACCTGGTCTCATTCAGTTCCTTGAAGTGCCCAGGAAGAGACTGTCCAATTCTGCTGCTGCAGGACGCTGGATGACAAGGAAAACGTGAGTTCCGACTTGGACTGTCGGGGAACTTAACTTTTCTCTCCTTGGTTCTTCTGCTTGGAGGACAGGGACTTGTGGGGATGGTGTCGGGGTCGGGTGGTTTGCCATGACAGGTGCAATAGGCAAACAAATCTGAAATGGGGTTACCTGTGAGGGTTTGAAGGACAGGGAACGATGGGGTTGGGTGGCTTTCCATGACAGGTGCAAGTTTATGTTTGGTAGAAAATAATAAAAGGGAGGCTGAAAACTATTCTGAAATGGGGTTACCTGTGAGGGTTTGGAGGACAAGTGGAGGATGCAAACTACTCTGAGATAGGGCTACCTGTGAGGGTTTGGGGGACAAGTGGAGGATGCAAACTACTCTGAAATGGGGATACTTATGAGGGTTTTGGGGACAAGTGTAGGATGCAAACTACTCTGAGATAGGGCTACCTGTGAGGGTTTGGGGGACAAGTGGAGGATGCAAACTACTCTGAAATGGGGATACTTATGAGGGTTTGGGGGACAAGTGTAGGATGCAAACTACTCTGAGATAAGGTTACCTGTGAGGGTTTGGAGGACAGGGAATTATTGGGTTGGGTGGCTTTCCATGACAGGTGCAAGTTTATTTTTGGTAGAAAATAATAAAAGGGAGGCTGAAAACTATTCTGAAATGGGGATACTTATGAGGGTTTGGGGGACAAGTGGACGATGCAAACTACTCTGAGATAGGGCTACCTGTGATGGTTTGGAAGACAGGGAACTATGGGGTTGGGTGGCTTTCCATGACAGGTGCAAGTTTATTTTTGGTAGAAAATAATAAAAGGGAGGCTGAAAACTATTCTGAAATGGGGTTATCTGTGAGGGTTTGGGGGACAGGGGGGAGGCAGCAAACTATTCTGAAATGGGGTTACCTGTGAGGGTTTTGAGGACAAGTGGAGGATGCAAACTACTCTGAGATAGGGCTACCTGTGAGGGTTTATAGGACAGGGAACTATGGGGTTGGGTGGCTTTCCATGACAGGTGCAAGTTTATGTTTGGTAGAAAATAATAAAAGGAAGGCTGAAAACTATTCTGAAATAGGGATACTTGTGAGGGTTTGGGGTACAAGTGGAGGATGCAAACTACTCTGAGATGGGGTGACCTGTGAGGGTTTGGAGAAACAGGGAACTATGGGGTTGGGTGGCTTTCCATGACAGGTGAAATTTTATGTTTGGTAGAAAATAATAAAAGGGAGGCTGAAAACTATTCTGAAATGGGGTTACCTGTGAGGGTCTGTAGGACAGGGAACTATGGGGTTGGGTGGCTTTCCATGACAGGTGCAAGTTTATATTTGGTAGAGAATAATAAAAGGGAGGCTGAAAACTATTCTGAAATGGGGTTACCTGTGAGGGTTTGGGGGACAGGGGGGAGGCAGCAAACTATTTGGAGATAGGGTTACCTGTGAGTGAGTGTTTGTAGGACAGGGAAATAGGGGCTGCTGCCGGGTTGGGTGGTTTGCCATGACAGGTGCAAGTTTATGTTTGGTAGAAAATAATAAAAGGGAGGCTGCAAACTATTCTGAAATGGGGCTACCTCTGAGGGTTTGGAGGACAAGTGGAGGATGCAAACTACTCTGAGACAGGGTTACCTGTGAGGGTTTGTAGGATGGGGAACTATGGGGTTGCTGTAGGGTTGGGTGGCTTTCCATGACAGGTGCAAGTTTACCTTTGGTAGAAAATAATAAAAGGGAGGCTGCAAACTATTCTAAAATTGGGTTACCTGTGAGGGTTTGGAGGACAGGTGGACAGTTCAAACTACTCTGAGATAGGGTTACCTTTGAGGGTTTGTAGGAAAGGGAACTGTGGGATTGCTATAGGATTGGGTGGCTTTCCATGACAGGTGCAAGTTTATGTTTGGTAGAAAATAATAAAAGGGAGGCTGCAAACTATTCTGAAATAGGGTTTACCTGTGAGGGTTTGTAGAACAAGTGAAGGATGCAGATTACTCTGAGAAAGAGTTACCTGTGAATGTTTGTAGGACAGGGAACTATGGGGTTGCTGTAGGGTTGGGTGGCTTTCCATGACAGGTGCAAGTTTAGTAGAACATAATAAAAGGGATGCTGAAAACTACTCAGAAATAGAGTTACCTGTGAGGTTGTGGAGGACAGGGGGAGGCTGAAAACAACTCTGAGATAGAGTTACCTGTGAGTGTTTTGGAGGACAGGGAATTATGGGGTTGCTGTGGGGTTGTGTGGCTTTCCATGACAGGTGCAAGTTTATGTTGGGTAGAAAATATTAAAAGGGAGGAAGGCTGCAGACCAATCTCCAATGGGGTTACCTGTAAGGGTTTTGAGGACAGGGGGAGGCTGCAAACTACTCTGAAACAGGGTTACCTGTGAGGTTTTGGAGGACAGGGTCCTATGGGGGTGCTGTGGGGTGGTTTGCCATGACAGATGAAAGGTTGTGAAGGGCAGAAAAATATTGTTACTGGAAAGATGCAATAAAATACTATGAAATTCAGTTTCCTGGAAGTTTTGGAGGACAGGGACCTGATAATCAGACAATACTGCACAGAGGGGAGGCATCAAACTACTCAGGGGTAGGGTTACCTGTGAGGCTTTGGAGGACAGGGACATATGGGGTTGCTGTCAGGTTAAGTGGCTGTTGTATCGGGTGGGTGGACATGATAGGTGCAAGATTATAGTGGCTAGAAAAAATTAAAGGGAGGCTACAAACTACTCTAAGACAGTTTTACCTGTGAGTTTTTGGAGGACAGCAACCTATGAGGTTGCTGGCAAGTCAGGTGGGGAGGGGGTGTCATGTCAAATGGAAGGTCATGATGGGCTGAAAAACAGTTTTTTGGAGGACAGGAACCTGATAGGCAGACT